AGAAACCGAAGTTTGTTGCTGTCAGCTCCCAGCCATGGCTCTACACCAGCTCTTTCTGTTTAAAGTTTTCCAATTTGGACACAGTTGGTCTGGGTCTGCGTCCATCAGCTTGCTTACGTCCCAGATGATGGACATAATGGAAGCTGATGTTTTACCATGTGGAGTTTGAGGTGGATCTAGATGTAATGTCTCACTGTAGTTTGCAGGTCCTTTGCTGCCTTCTCTAGGATGCCTCCAGGCCTAGCATGCTGCAGGCCTGGAGCTCGGCGACAGTTTCCTTGATTTTTTAAATTTTCGTCTGAGATCTGGGTCATACCGTCGCTGAGGGATTACCCCGACTCTCCCCGGCCACAGCAGTGAGTGTGTTCACCTGCGGCTGGCTGAACTCCACGGACTTACGCAGCACCTGAAAGTCTTTATGCAAGATTTCCAGTGGGGGCAGGTATATGTCAAAGCTCGATGGTTTTTTTTATCTATGGACACCAAAATCTCCATCATGTTGCTAGTCTGAGGAGAAGCCCGTTCCAAACATGTTTCCTTTGCTGCTGGATGTAGTCAGTGCCTTGTTTCCCCATAACAATGGACCTGAAACACTTGCAGGTATACTGCTTCTACTGTCCCGGTCTTCTTTGTGGTCCTCCAGAGTGCTTAAGTTGGTTGAAACACAGTTTTCAAGCTGTATAGGAGTAAGTTGGCAGAGAAAGCTAGTGACCGAAATGTTCTCAATCAGTAGCACGCCGGGTCTCGTGTTAGCTCCTCCTTCCCTTTATTGTCCTAACTCTAACCCAGGCTGATCCTAACTAATAAGGCAGCTACACCTGTAGAGGGTAATGTTGAGTAAATTAATTGTTACATTCCACCTTATGCAGCTAATGAACCGCAACTCATGCAGTGCCTCTCCAGCCCAGGAAACAAAATATGGAGCTTGAAATGAGACAGTAAGCTTAATGGACTCCAATCATAAGAACTACAAACACTGTAGGGCACTGTCACCCTAATGTTATCTTACCTGGGGCTAATGAATTACTTGATAAAATCCTTGTCCTCTTCCTGCCTGTATGCTTTTATTTTTCGTGTGTTCTGTAGTTGAAGCGCCTGAGAGAGGCCGAGAGTCAGTTTCTTCCTCTTCTGGACAAGAACAAGCGTCTGAGCCGCAAAAACGAAGAGCTGGCTCTAGCGCTGCGTCGACTCGATAACAAGCTTCGCTTCGTCACCCAGGAGAATCTGGAGATGGTAACTATGGTAACCTCTGACTCTAACACGCCCTATTCTGTATCAGTCAAACTGGTGATGGTGTTGGAATTGATGTGATGTCCAGCTTCCACACGCAGTTACTGCTTTTTACCAGCAGGTGTCAGGATTCACTCACACTTCAGGGTTTAGGTACTTCATTGACAACCCAATTACAAGACTGAAGTTTAATTTGTCATTTTATTTGCATCTTTCACCTCTTACACCAATGATCCAAAAGACTGAATGATCCCGATTATAAACCAGGACGCTGCTGGAAGGCTCTCGGCCACGCTTGACCCTGGCAGGACTCTTGGTGTCTTGTAGAATAGAATAGATCTGTATTGTCACTGTTACAAGAACAATGAAACACAGTTTGGCATCTCTCCGTTGGCAGGATGTAGATTTACATTCAGTTTTTGGATAGGAGAGGAAGATAAGACAGACATAAGTTTAAGGGTACCTACTGAGGGAGTGTGTGTAACACACAATAGCGTAACACAGGCTACACAGTAACACAGGCATTTACACAAAAAAGATATGTACAAGTTATACATACAAAGGAGTACATACGCATACACACATACATACCTACCTATATACACAAACATATACACAGAGATATACGTACGTTTTAACAATTAATGTAAATCTATCTCATATACAGGGACGCCTCTGAAACAAAGTGTCGTCCATTCTTCAAATTTCTGTCCCTGGATAAATGAAAATATTCTGAATTTTAGGAAATATTGTCGCAAGTTAGAACGTTTATGGAAGGCTTCCAAGCTCGAGGTTCATGGGATACATCTCAAGGAATCAATTTCCTCACTTAATGACATGATAAAAAAATGCTAGAACTGAATTTCAAAAAAGAACCATCCCAAAGTGTTGTTTGATATCCCTCATGTACCAGTCTATACTAAATCTGATTGTAATGAATTTTTGAACTATTCTGTAAATAAAGTCGCTGCCATCAGGTCTATTATCTCTCCATCATCCTCTCAGTATCACACTGAAAATATCAAAATGATCATCTGTGTCAAAGTCGAGTGTTACATAAGTTGAAACGGCCGCAATTTTCTTTGTGGGCTCTTTCTTAGCTTCTCGTCCGTAAACACTCTTGTCCGAAATACTTTGCAGTTTATTTTGAAAAATCTCAACAGGATCTTCAGCTTTATTGTGAAAGGTTTATGTGGAAAATAAACAAGCCACACGATGGTTTTACCATCGTTGTTGCTGATGACAACGCATAAAAACAGTCACTTGTCCACTGTAGTGTGGTTATATTAAATATAAGAGAAAAATAGAGCTTTGGGAAATTCTACAGTGACCATCAAAACCATGAAAAAATATTGCTGAAAACTGTTTATTTTACCACAAAGCAAACAGTAGCGTAATATGAAACCATAGACGTTTTTATATCATTACATCGAACAGCCCTAGTTATAGTATACTTTATTCAAACACAGTGAAACAGTGCTGCATCAGCTGCTGAGCATTTCTTCCACATCTATTCATTTTAGTTATATTTCTATATGAAAGAAAAGACAACCCATCATGGCCGAGCACTTGGTGACAGTGAGCATGAAAAACCATCAAACAGCAATCAAATACTTTAGCGTACCATTACTATGGTAACAGCCATGCTTTTGTGGTCCACAGAGGAGGCCAAGTTCATTAAATGATCTGGACCGCAGCCACTCCACCAGTTACCATGGTTACAGTCAGGACGAGAGAGAGATGGAGTTTCTGCGGTTACAAGTCCTGGAGCAGCAACACATCATTGATGACCTGTCCAAGGTACCCATACCACTGATTCAGTTCAGTTTGTATAGCGCCAAATCACATCAGGAGTTGCCTCAAGGCGCTTTATGTTGTAAAAGAAATACCCTACAATAATACAAATAAACCAGAGTAAATCTCAACAATCATATGACTGCCTATGAGCAAGCACTTTGGCGTGGGAAGGAAAAACTCCCTTTTAACAGGAAGAAACCTCCAGCAGAACCAGGCTCAGGGAGGGGCGGGGCCATCTGCTGTCAACAGGAAGAAGCCAAAGATTAATAATAACTAGTAATTAAATGCAGAGAGTTGTATAAAAACATAGTGAGTGAAGAAGAAACACTCAATGCATCATGGGAGTCTCCCAGCAGCCTAAGGGAGGATTCAGGGTCACCTGGTCCAGCCCTAACTATATGCTTTAGCAAAAAGGAAAGTTTGAAGCCTGATCTTTAAACAATCCAGGGTCTACCCTGTCTCCTGCCCTAAGACAGCTGTGATAGACTCCAGCCCCCCCTCCCCCTCACGACCCTGAATTGAATAAGTGGAAGAGGGGGATGGATGGATGGATGGATGGATGGACACACATAAGCCCATATGTGTTCATTCATAGTTTTGATGCCTTCAGTGAGAAACCACAATGTGAAAAAACCCATTAAGTGAGCAACTGTGTCCATACAGACGACAAGTAATACTGTTACTGCTCCTACTAGTACTACACACACTCACACATTTATACTTGTACTGCAGTTCAGTACTTCACTGTAATAAGACTTAGTTTGTGTTTACAGGCTCTGGAGACAGCTGGTTATGTGAAGAATGTGATTGTAAGTATTGAATCGTAATACAGTTGTTGGTGTGTCCTGTGTGATGGGTTGTGAGCTTTGTATCGAACATGCATAGAATCAGTGATAACCCTGAGAGTAAGATCTTTCTGTTAATAGTGAAACATGCTGCTGTCTGTCTGTAGGAGAGAGACATGTTACTGAGGTACCGGCGTCAGGAATCGGGGAGGAGGAAACGGACCTTCAGAGCCTGCAGGGTGAGGCCAGGCCTGTACCCCGATATTTCTTTGTTTGTGTGTGACGAAGCCAGGTTTATTCTTTAGCGAGTTGTTTACCTATTGAATCTCCATGAAAACCGAGGCTGACCAGCTTACCTGGTCAGAAGCAGGTGACCCTCAGCATTTCTTTCATGTGCAGAACGCTTTCAGTGTGATAGATGTTTTGTGTGCAGCTTGTTCCTGAAAGCAGCAAATGACGCCCTGCTGCAAAGCTCCAGCAGCTCAGACTGAATGTGCATCCCATTACGTAAAGTGAAGTTGGAGCGACGTCTTTTATAAGTCATTTTTGGACCTCCAGTTTTGGTCCACTGAGAGGGTCCACTGTAGCACCAGGTGACAACTTCTTTTTAAATGTCTGCTTAATGTTGTCGTCAGTAGAAACGACGTGTAGGGGCTATTTATGGCACATTGAGGAGGATGGAAACCTCAACGTTTACATTTGCTGGAAACCCACAAACACAGACCAGTACCTACTCCCCACTTGACTTCCACCACCCTCTGGAACACAAACTTGGGGAAATCGGGATCCTGCAACCCTGGAAAAACATCCCCTCTAAGCCAGAAGGGGAAACAAAGGAACACACATGTAAAGAAAGCTCATAAACATGTGGTTACCCCAGCTGGGCTTTCATCAAATCAACTAAGATGCACAGGAAAGACGGTCAGACACCAACTAGAGAGGATCAGAAGGACAAACAGAACAACTGTCATCCCTCATGTGGCAGGTTTATCAGAGAAACTCAGGAGAGTCTTCTCCAAGCACGGCATCCCAGTGTACCCAGCCACACACTCAGACACAAACTGGTTCATCCCACACACAACCTCAACAATGTAGCGTAGCTGTACAGTGTAGGGAGGAGTGCTCAGACCTCTACACTGGAGACACCAAACAGCCACTTTATAAACGCACAACATAGAAGAGCCACCTCCACGGGACAAGGCTCGGCTGTACTAAAGGACAAAGGTCACTGCTTTAAGGATGCAAATGTTCACATGTTGGACAGAGAGGACAGGTTTGAAAGAGGAGTAAAAGAAGCATCTGTGTCCACTGTGAACGGCTATCTTTGAACAGAGGGCGGGGCTTACCACACCAACTGTCTGCCATCTATAATCCAGTTCTGAGATCCTTCACAGAGACCCTAACGCCCACTCACATGGGTGAGTTGATCTCAGTAGGTCACATGACTCACGATGGTTCAGCTAAACCTCTGCTAATAGCAACTACACCTTTTTTCACACTTTGGCTCCTGTGATGAGGGTAATGATCAAATAAGGGACACGCCACTATTTGGTTTTGCAGCTGAAGAAGCGTCTTGGATGAAACTTGAAACATCTTCAAGAAACTTAAACGAGTCCAGTCGCTTGTGTTTTTACAAGCTCCTTAAATTAAGTCACCATGGTGACAGACATTCAGTGTTTTCTGAATAATGATTGAAATATTAAAAGGTCACAAACTAAACGTCGTTTACTAATTCCGAGTCTTCTCCTGTCACAGCTCCATCAGTAATTAGCTTTGACCAATCAGGTTACAGCCCAATCATCAGATTTCGATGATTTCATGTAAACATACTGAGAGCTGGTTGGACCAACTCTGGTCAGCTCTTCTGGACCAGAAATCAGATCTCTGATGATCTGTAAAGCATCCTGAACTGGGCGTGATGTAGAAAAATGGAGGATGTGTTGATGGTGTTATGGCACTTTGTGGTGGGTTTTCAGAACTACGTTGTGTCTCTGTGTGTTGCCTGCAGGTCATTGAGACGTTTTATGGCTATGATGAAGAGGCGTCTGTGGATTCTGATGGCTCGTCTTTGTCCTTTCACACTGACAGAACTCCAGATACTGAACCAGACGAGGTACGCACACACATGTACACACACCCACTGTTTCCAAAGGTGAGGACATCCAAACGTGTTCTTAAGTCCAGTGGGATGTAAAAGGAAACAGCTGGTAGTTTCTGACTCTTGGAACAGACAGCGCTCAGCCTTTGATGGAGAGCCGACAGAAAGACAAAACCTTCAAAGATCCACCTTTGCTAGATTTTAAATAATAATTCATATAGTAACAACAAAACATCCTTCAGGTACTTAAGTTGTAACCTGCTTAAGCTGCCAGTGTCTATAACAGGGGTGTCCAACTCCAATCCTCGAGAGCTACAGTTCTGCAGCTTTTAGATGCATCCCTACTCCAACACAGCTGAATCAGATGGTTGGATTACCTCTTCAGCATCCCATCAAGTTTTGCAAAGGCCTAGGAACAAGCCATAAATTTGATTCAGGTGTGTCGGAACAAGGATGATATCTCTCTTTAAAGCACGAGGGAGGGGCTAATAATCGGCTCAGTCATTTTTAATGATCGTTGAAAGCCCGTAATCGAGATTAAAATTCGATTAATTGAGCAGCCCTACATCCAGGTGACTTCTTCAGTCTGACTGCAAATTTCCAACCTTATAAACAGTACGTTTGCACAATGACTGAAACTAGCACCACTGATGAACAGTGGCCTGGGAGGTCAGTTTCATAATCATTGTTGAGATGGTACTTGACCTAATGACTGCTCTGTGACTACTAATATCCACCATGTTTTAAATAACACAGTATAATACCCCCTAATAGTTAGACTGAGTCACACTGTACTTCTCTCAAAGTATACCACCAGGGGCACCTTTCTTATAAATAATACCCCAGTTGCCCAGCAGAGTGTTTCAGGGCCTTCCTAGCCATCCTAACAGTCTTGAAGTGTACAGCATGGTCCTGAGTTACCATCCAGGCTAATTTGAGACCGGAAATTAAGGCCAATAACAGGTTGACTTCAGCCAAACTTTTTGCTGTTTCAGCTCAAGAAATGTGGTTTCTACACAAACTACATGTGCAGTCTTCTTCTACAGACCAGGCTCAAAGGGCTAAGGTAGACAGAGAGAGACAGAAAACTTAGGCTTTTAAAACAAACTTGGAGCTAACCAGACCTTTAACACTCTAGCAGAAAGATGCACTCAACTTTCTCATGGACCTCATGATAACTAGTCTCATGGACTAGTTATCAGAGAGTGATAGAACACTAAAATGGGATGTCTATAAGTAAAAGTCCTCAGTAAAGATATGTTGACTTTGTGCCAAAGTTCCTTAGAGGTTCACCTTTTAACACCATTTGTACTGTTACTGAATTCTCTTAAGATTTCAGTTTGTTTCAAATTATATTTTTAGTAATTCAGTGTTGAAGAAATTCCTATTGTATGAAAATACAAAAGAAACTTTCGATTTTTCATGTGTTTGCATGCTACCACGCTGATGATGCTTGAATGCAGTTTGCAGTTAGGCATTTGGTTGGTGGCTGACCTTTGACCTGGGCTGTCGTTCTTGTGCTCAGTCTCAGGAGGATCGTGACACTCGGAGGTTTCAGCTGAAGATAGCTGAGCTCAGTGCCGTCGTCAG